CTTCCAGTTATTTTGACATATGCAATATATTGTTGTTAACTGTAGTCTCCCTACTATGCTATGGAACACTAGAATGTATTCTTAACTGTATGTTGGTACCCATTAACCCACCTCTCTTCATTTCCCCTCATTCTTCCCAGCCTCTGGTAACCCTCATTCTACTCTCTATCTCCATCAGATTAACCTTTTTTTTTAACCTCTCACATATGAGTGAGAACAGAGATGCATATTATTTTTTTGCATTGAGTTTGTTTTTAATTCATATCTCTACCAAGTAGCTCTCATATCTATTTTTCTCTTTTTTTTTTTTTTTTTTTTTTTTTTTTTTGTTTTTGTTTTTTTCATAAGAAGATTTTGTTTTTCTGGTTTTTTTTTTGTTTTGAGGTGGGGTCTCATGCCGTTGCCCAGGCTGGAGTGCAGTGACACAGTCACAGCACACTGGACCCCCCCAACTCCTGGGCTCAGGCGATCCTCCCACTTCAGCCTCTGAAGTAGCTAGAACTCAAGGCAGCCTCCACTACTCCACAGCTGTTTTTTTAACTTTTTATTTGTAGAGATGAATATGTTTATCTGTGTTGCCCAGACTGGTGTCGAATCCTGGCCTTGAGTGATCCTCCCACCTTGGCCTCCCAGAGCGCTGGGATTACAGGCATGAGCCACCATGTCCAACCATAGAAGTTTTTAATTATACTCTTTCATTGTAGAAAAATTAATAGAAATAAACTTAAAAAAGCAAAGCAGGTAAATACTACCCATAGCCCAGCCAGGCACAGTGGCTCACGCCTGTAATCCCAGCACTTTGGGAGGCCAAGGAGGGCAGATCACAAGGTCAGGAGATCGAGACCATCCTGGTTAACACGGTGACACCCCATCTGTACTAAAAATACAAAAAACTAGCCGGGCGTGATGGCGGGCGCCTGTAGTCCCAGCTACTCGGGAGGCTGAGGCAGGAGAATGGCGGGAACCCGGGAGGCGGAGCTTGCAGTGAGCTGAGATTGGGCCACTGCACTCCAGTCTGGGTGACAGAGCAAGACTCCGTCTCACAAAAAAAAACAAAAACAAAAACAAAGTTATTCATAGCCCACCACACAGCAAAAATGGCTATTAACTTGGTTCCCTATACCTACATCTACGTAACAGATACTGGATTTAATAGTGATTTTCTTCTGCACTATTTCATGAACATTAGATTATTTTTAAAATACATTAGGACTTTGATCCTGAAAATGGACAAGAGTCATGCCTGAAATCCCAGCACTTTGGGAGGTGAAGGCAGGAGGATTACTTGAGCCAAGGAGTTTGAGACCAGCTTGGGCAACATAGTAAGGCCCCCGTATCTACCCAAAAAAATGAAAAAGTAGCTGGGCATGGTGGTGTGTGCCTGTAGTTGTAGTTATCTTGGGGACTGGGGGGCAGGAGGATCGTTTAAACCCAGGAGGTTGAGGCTGCAGTGAGCTGTGATTGTGCCTCTGCACTCCAGCCTGGGTGACAGAGCAAGACCTTGTCTTTAAATAAAGAGAAGGAAAAGAAAGGAGAAACCTGTTTCTCCAACACCACGACCTTCATCTCAATCATCTAAAATGGGTTCTGTGGAGCTTCCTGGGCTCAAAGCTTCACACTTAGGGATGATAAGGTAGACAGCAAGGTAATGAACAGCTTTCAGCTGTCATTCAGCAGTGATTTAGGATAGGTGTTTGCTAGGGTAGCAAATGTCAGACGCGTCTGTAAAATTGCTCTATCCTGAAGGGTTTCTGTTTCTGGCAGCTTGTTCCAGAGCGTGTTGGGTGAATACTGATGTCAGGATATATGAGTGTCGTGTACTTTATGACACAGTTATACCCAGGAAGGGGCTGAGTCTACCAGTGAACGTGGTAAATGACACAAGACTTAATGATGGTCTCAGCAAGCTCCACCACACTTGCCTCCCTTCTCTCCCTGCAATAAGCCAAACCTGGGGCATTTGCAGCTGCTAGTTCCTCTACCCAGAACGCTGTTCCTCCAGCCCTTCAAAGTCACCTAAATGTTGTTTCCCTTTAGGTCTTCCCTGCTATCCCATTTGAAGTAGCTTTTCCCCTTCCCCACCACCCAACATGGCATCACCATCTTTGTTTTCTCCATCACACTTGTGCTATGAAGGTATCTTACTGCTTTGCTTGGCTGTTGCCTGTTCCCTTCACTGGCCAGCACGCCTCTTGGAGAGAGACCACACTGACTGGTTTTGTCCACCACATCCCCACGGCGTACGACAAAGTACCCACCCACAAATGCTTGCTGGATGAATGAATCACGTTACGGCTGTTGGTCAGATAAAATGCATGGCAACCAAACGTCATTAAAGTTTTTGAATCATTTTGCAAAACATTCATATTTGGTTAAATGTAAGATGAAAGATTAGATAAAATATGACCATGTAATATGTAAAAATGAATTGAATTGAACAGTACATATGGCAGAGGTGGTTGAGAAAACTGTAGAGGTCAGAGTCTCAACTCTCGTTGCTTGGCCACCCTGTAGCGATAGTCTTGGTTGAAACATCATGTTGGCAAAATTGTGTTCATCACTAGAGCAAAGAGATGGAGGAGAGAAAAGTTTTCCAATTCTAGAGAAAGGACAAATCTATACCTTTATTAAAATGTTTATGTCAATATACATCTTAAAACATCTAAAAAGGGGACATGATGGAGACTCCCCGGGTACATTTTATATCTTGTAGAAAATAAGTGCCATTTCCGAAACACCCTGTGTTTCCATTATGAGGTTGGTCTGGAAGAGTATGGTAAAAAGTTCTTAGCAGCGCAGACTTTGTGTTTGGTTTTGCTATTTTTGTGCACACTGCACTCGGGTCACCTCGAGGGCTGTACAGTTAACAGGCAGCTGCTCTGCTACGGCCTGATGGGCAGAATCCTACAGAAGCCGGGCTGTCTGTCATGGACTGCTGCTCACTGGAACAGCACCCAAATCACCATCCTAAGGGTGCGGGCTGTGCTTTGTCGCTGTTGTTTTTTAGTTTCGTGGATTTAAGTCACCTGATATTCTAAACTTCAGTAAATGTGCAGAAGGTGCTACTTTGTAAGCAGAATGAAAAACCATGCGCATGCTCGTGTTTGAGGAGGCAGGTAAACATGGGAATGACTTCTAGGTTTGTGGCGTGAGATGTGATAACACCAGGAAAAAAGAAGGGGTGAGCAAAGGCTGCGTTGAGCTCCTTGATGGGCAGCTCTGCAGCTGTGACCTCTGGACTCATAACTGGCTTTTTAGTCTCATATAACTTCTGCACTTCTAGGGCTTGTGGGCTGGCTCAAATTCAGTGAATTGGTTGGAAGTCTGCGTGGTGTTAAGTACTGTGCTTTGTGCTAGAGTGAGCAAGGCCCTGCCTTCAGGCAGCTTTCCCAGGGCTTACAGAAAAGGGCAGCCGAGTAGGGAAATGCTTCTCTGTGCCAGTTGTTGCCCAGTGTTTTCCCGTGGCTTTTCCTTAACTTCACATTGATTGCAAGGCCCTCGGCAGTCCCCCCTGGCATTTTTCAAAGTTTTCTGCACACAGAAGTTTTATTCCTTTTTATTAACCGACGGATACTTTCCTCCCTCCTTCCCGACCCCACACGCAGTATGTTAAACCTCACCTCACGGGGCTCCTGGCCTTGGCATCCGCGTGGACCTGCACAGAGGGTCCTGCCAGGCGGTGAATTTGTACTGGTTTTCCTAATGAGGGCATTATTTGCTTTTTAGCCTGCCCCCTTGTTTATAAAATATGCCAAGAGAACTAAACAACCCGCTGTTCCCAGTCCTTATTTACTTGTCCAAACCAAATGTTTATGTCCTTGAATACTAAACTTGAAGAAAAAGGATTCCTCCTCGTGGGAAAGCTATGATCACTGAGTTTTTTCTAAACTGTAGCTGCAGGCCTGCTTTTCAGTCAACATGCAACTTATCAGTGACTTTAGGGACAATTCAGACCCGCTTCCTTTGCCCTAGAGTGTGGGGTGGGGGAGCTCTACGTTCCCGGGTCTGTAACTGTTAATATCTCCCTGAGACACCTCCTGGGCCAGGTGCAGCATTCGGAGCTTGGCTTGGCCCAGGACCGTTCATTGAACATAACCTTGGGCCTAACGATGTAAAAAGGAGAGGAAGAGAAAAGGCAGTTGGCAGTCACAGTGATGATGGTTTTCTTTGGTCACCTGTGCCTGCGCTGGCTTTGGGCATGCCGCGTGCTGGCCAGCTTGCTGGAAAGCCGGGTCGGTGTGAGGCAGGACTTCTCGGCCTGGGCAGCAGGTTCAGGATCACCTGGGACGCTTCCGGAACACAGGCTGCTTGCCCCCAGCTGACTCAGAACCTGGCACCTGTGTTTTCTGGATGCTGACCAGGGGAGTCTGATGGAACCAGGTTCCAGGGACTGCCCATGATGGCTGTGGCTAATACATTTTGTTCCTCTCAAGTGGAATTTCCCCATGGGCATCTGACTTGAACCACTTTATCTTCTCCTGGCAAGTTTTGTGCGGAACACACACTTGTCACCTGTCCTTGTTTCTTTTTCCACGAGGAGAAACATTTCCTTGTTACCTTTGCCAGATTACTTAGGAGAAGAGTGTAAATTGAAGCCATTTATCTTGAAATGTGCTGCAGGGGCACGTTGTTTATACAAGTGAAAGAAATTGTAACAGGGTTATTTGGTCTGGTCTGCAAGGAAAAGGTGTCTCAAGTTTTCCTTTCTGCTCCCCCCCTTCTGCTCCCCCTTTCTGCACATAGTATATTAGTTAGAATTAGGTTTGCGTCTGTGACAGGCGGGACAGCCATTAATAGGCTTAGTGAGTATTTTTTATGTTTACTATTGGTAAAGTTAACAATGCCATTAATAATAAAGTGAATGTTACTGCTCACACATCAGCCAGTCTCATGACCAGAGTTCATCTATTGTGTATCCTATGGCAGGTAGTCAGATAACAGATAAAACGTGAGTTTGCAGTGATTTTGCTATTCTAATTAAACCTGTACATGTTTGTCAGTTGGAGGACGAGTAAGTCGTGAATTAAATTATACTCGCCAGAAGATTGGAGAAGAGGCTATGTTTAATCCTCAACTCATGATACAGACCCCTAAGGAAGAAGGTGCTAACGTCCTGACCACAGAAGCACTCCTACAGCACCTGGACTCCGCGCTCCAGGCCAGCCGTGTCCACGTATACATGTACAACAGGTAATGCCCACCGCGCCCACCCACTGATGAGCAGCAGGTAAGGCGGTGGGAGAAGGCTACTGGTGTAGGTCCTGTTATTTTAGTAAATGGAGTTGCCCTGGAAATGCACCTGGAGTATTAGTTCAGATAGCTTTGCAATGAAAGGATTTTTTTCATCTTGATTTGTTTCTCCAGTGTGGTAACAAAGCAAGTGCATTACTTGATAATGTATTACCAGTAAGTATCTTGGCACTGTCCCCAAATGAGAGTGACCCTGAGCCCGTTGGGGTCTGTACACCAACGCTGTAAGATGTTTCATTGCTTAAGAGATTTTCGGAGCAGTGATACTTTGAGTTGCCCTTAGTGAACTCACAATGCGAAAAAGAAGAGCTGTTTCTTGTGACTTTGTACTCGTGGTTATTTTGTGTCACACAGCGTGTTGGGGGCTGAGCCACCATGGGAATTGTTGCTGACACCTTTTTATATTTTTTTGAGACAGAGCCTCTGTTGCCCAGGCTGGAGTGCAGCGGTGCAATCTCGGCTCACTGCAACCTCTGTTTCCTGGGTTCAAGCAGTCCTCATGCCTCAGCTTTCCAAGTAGCTGGGACTAGAGGCACCTGCCACCACGCCTGGCTAATTTTTGTATTTTCAGTAGAGATGGGGTTTCACCATGTTGGCCAGGCTGGTCTCGAACTCCTGACCTCAGGTGATCCACCCACCTCAGCCTCCCAAAGTGCTGGGACTACAAGTGTGAGCCACCATGCCTGGCCCGCTGACACCTTTTGAAAAAGTCATCTTTTAGCATCATATTGCTGATTTCACAATGCTGTGAGTAGAGTAAAGCATTAGGAAGAGTTCAAAACTCGGTCCTTTTTCTCATGTATCTAGACTGTCGGTTACTACAGGGCAGGGGCCACCTCTCACCTGTTTTCACCCCAGCATTGAGAACAGAGTGGGCATTCAGTTTGTTGATTGCTATTGAGGTTGGCATCACTAAACCCCATTTCCAGGGGACCTCTGAGTTGATGTCACCCAACCCCATTGCCTTCCCTAGGCTTTCAGCACCTCTTCACTGAGGCCTTCACTAGTACCCTTTATTCTTCCCGGAAGAGGTGAGGAAGGAGCAGTGTAGGCATATTCGGCAGCCAGGGAGAACCAAAGAAGAGAATAAAATTAAGATTTTTACTTGTCCCTGCTCTAACCTCTGCTTATGTTCCAGCTTGACAGGATCCTAGGGACAAGCACAGCCAGGGGCAAGTCACATGTCCATGTCTTTGGCACATTCTTGTTTGCTTATCTGTGACCTGGGCTTATGGTCATGTGTGTTGGTGTCCTCCGTGGTCGCCAGAGCAAGATCAGATATATGAATGCAAGGGCCTTAGAACATGTAAAATCATGTTTCTGCCAGGCAGACTTGCCCTGCTGGTCTGTAACAAGCATTGTAGGGAAGCAACTACCCAGTGTAGTTTTGCAGAATGTGAAGTGGCATCCCTGATGGCTCCCTGGGAGCCAGGAAATGCGTGTCCTAGGGCCACTGCAAGCATGGCCAGTGCATTCTTAGTGTGTGTCACCTACATGCTTCTGGAGAAGACGTGAGGGTCTGTGCAATTAAATTACACTCTTAAGCTGAGATGGGTCGAGAGTAATTTTATGCATTGGAATGAACTTTAAGAACGTGTAGTTCAACCCATCCCACGTTCTAGGTGAGAAAACTGGGAATTAGACTAATTAGAGCATTTGTCCAAGTTCATGCAGTTATGAAATGAGAGAACCAGGTTTCAAAGCCTTTTTCTGGCTTCAAGCCCGTTAGTTTTTCTAATGCACAGTGATGCCCTTCTCAAGCAAGTGTAGATGAGAGTTGATCAAGTAATATAAACTGAGAACCAACTCACGCTGGATATTCTATGTTGATGCTATGTAGAATTACAATAGAAATACGTCCATGGATGGATGGCTGGGTGGAGGATGGAGGAGAGATGGGTAACTTAGGCACAGCTCTCAGAGAGGAAAGACATGAGTATAGATAGACATGAACAGAGCAAACGGGGGCGGTCCCCATGACAGCTGCGCAGGAGATCTGCCCAGCCAGGGCTCTAGAGTTCAGGAGAAAGGGGTCATTTTCAACAAACTTAACAGGGGGGTGACATTTCAACAGGGTGCTGAGAGACAGATAGGAAGGCACAGGGAAGAGGACACAGTAAGCTCCCGGGGTGAAGACAGTCCTGCCGTAGGAGGCCAATAATAGAGCAGTTGGGAGGGAGGTTTTTACTTTTTTTTTTTTTTCTTCCCTTGGACTTTTCCATCCCCACCGCTTTCAAATTTTCTTTTCTTTTTTCTTTTTCTTCTTCTTTTTTTTTCAGTTAGACTGATCTCCCTAACACACTTGGAAAGATATGGGCGTATATAACGCTTTTCTAGAGACAATAAAACTCCAGATTAATTTTTCTTTCTTTGTTTGTTTGTTTTTGAGAGATGGGATCTTGCTCATCTAGGCTGGAGTGCAGTGGAGCAATCATAACTTACTGCAGCCTCGAGCTCCTGGGCTCAAGTGATCCTCCCACCTCTGCCTCCCGAGTAGCTGGGACTATATACGTGTGGCACCACGCCTGGCAATTTGTTTTTCATTTTTTTTGTAGAGACAGGGTCACTCTCTGTTGCCCAGGCTGGAGTGTGGTGGCACGATCACAGCTCACTGCCTCAGCCTTCCAGGCTCAAGTAATTTCCTGTCTAGAGCTGGGACGACAGGCGTGCACCACTGCGCCCAGCTATTTTTTTAAGTTTATTTATTCACTCACTCATTCATTCATTTATAGTAGAGCTAGGGTCTCACTTTGTTGCCCAGGCTGGTTTCAAACTCCTGGCTTCATGCTGTCCTCCCGCCTGCACCTCCCAAAGTGCTGGGATTACAGGCGTGAGCTGCAGCACCCAGCCCCAAATTAATTCTCGATCTGTGTATGTATTCACGTTTCTGTGCGATAGGAATAGAAGAGACTGTGAAGTTAGAATGTGGCCCACCTGGCACATGTTGTTGTTTATAATATTAATGGTTAAGAGCAGAAGCGTTCATTTTGAACACTACCCATTCAGGACATGATCTGCCAGTAAAACACCTCCGCACCTGAATACGTGTCAATACTTTGCAAACCTAATTTAATCCCCACCTATTTTGAATTTGTGATAATTCAGCTGGGCTGCCCTGAAGTTGTTTAATGTATGTAGAAAAGCAGATTAATGGTGTAAACAAGATTATTGGGAGAACACTTAAGAAAACAAGACTTTTCAAGTACTTTGGTAGCATTCATTTACATAAACACCCTACATGTTAATTACGATTGAGTATTATCTATTCATTAAAGCAAGCTTGCTGGGTCTCTACTTGGCAAAAGCGCTGCTCGTTTTGACAGATGCTTAAAAGTGATCGAAATTGCAGTTCTTTTTATATGTTCTGTCATTCCGAATTTGCACTCATTTTCTTACCTTCCAGTGAGAAATGTTTGTCTCTGCTTTTCGTTTTATTAGGCAGTGGAAGTTGGAACATTTGTGTTACAAATCCGGAGAGCTTATCACAGAAACAGGTTACATGGATCAGGTACATTTTCTTCTTGTTGGCAAAAATTTCTCAGGAACACCCCAATAGTATGCCTTAACCTAACACGTGGCCTCTTCTTTTTAACTTCGACAGATAATAGAGTATCTTTACCCTTGTTTGATTATTACACCTTTGGACTGCTTCTGGGAAGGGGCGAAATTACAGTCTGGGACAGCGTACCTCCTGTAAGTGTGTGATCGCGCTTTCTGATGTCTGTGACTTCTCTAGGACTCAGTGTTTCTGATGTTGCTTATCATTGCTTGTTCCATTTCGGTTTTGAACAAGAAATAAAAACATTGAAATTCCATGTGCATTTTTTGAGTGAATAGTCGGGGGAGAGGGGATTTCAGCAGAATGTTTTTTCTCTTTTCAAAAAACAGTTCTGTAGGCGTCATTAAATTTCATTCACTTTTACCAACCTATTTATATGCAAATAAAATGCAAATTATTGCAGAGTACGTGTGATTTTTTAACTCTTTAAAATGTTCGTAGTTTCGAAGACTAGGCATTTAGACACTTATTTTTTAAGGAGATACTTTATTAGTGGGTACACGTCAGAACGAAATATTTTAAGTCTGAGATCTTCCTGTGAAGTGAAATGCTAACCTTTCTTCAGATCACACTAATGGCATTTAAGGGGAAAATCCAGTATCTGTGAAGGCCACGGTGGGGAATACTTCACCGTTTAGCAGTTGGATATTATATATACCGCATCATTTAGAGAATAATTGTTAATCAGCATAGACATTTTCAGTTAATTATGCAAGAGTGAGAGCTTGGGTTATTGTTTCTGTCCTGGCTTGCACGTATCTGCAAAAGCAATTTGCAGTGGCCATCCCCTGACCTTCAGTGTACAGTTTTAGATGGGAAATAAGGGGTTTTGTGTTTTCTGGTTGGGAGATTCCGAATAATGACTTCAGCCTGGTTAAGCAGCTACAGTGTGGTTTGAACCACATAACAGGCAGCCAAAAGCCTTTCTGGTCTGTCAACAGCACAAATTCAAAAGTGAGTGTGGGGGGAAGTGGCTGTGATGGTGGTGATGGCAGAGGCCGCAGGGGGCTTGCCCACTCCATTGCCAGGCTGTCAGAGAGCTCATAAGTATGGAATTGTTAAAGGTAGCAGGGATCAAATATTTTGATTGATGACATTTACAAAGCATTTATTAGGCTGCCAAGTGCTAATTTGACATTGTGACACCCTCTTTTAAAAAAAAAAAAATTAATTTTGGATCTGTCTTTTGGCTAATTTTGTCTGTAGATATTAAATATACAATATCAGCAGTTAAAGATTGTTCAGTGCCCTCATTAATTTATGAGTCCTCTCTCTGCTTAGCATCTTCAGTCATGAATTATTTTCCTGACCTAAGTTTGCATGCAGATATGCTGGAAAGGAGCATTTGTTTTGATGCCAGAGTCCCAAAATTGCAGCATTGCCAGGAGCCTCCTACAAGGCGGATGCAGTGGGTGCAGCCCTGTGACTTTACGATGAGTTTAGAAGGCTCTTTTCATGGTCTCGTCTGCTGATTTCTTTCGCAGAGGTAAACCTCCTTTGCGATGGACAAACTTCGACCCTTTGGAATTCCTAGAAGAGTTAAAGAAAATAAACTATCAAGTGGACAGCTGGGAGGAAATGCTGAATAAGGCTGAGGTTGGTCATGGTTACATGGACCGCCCCTGCCTCAATCCGGCCGATCCAGACTGCCCCGCCACAGCTCCCAACAAAAATTCAACCAAAGTGAGTGTCAGCAGTGAGCGCGCTCAGAAGGGGTGGAGAGCAAAACACTTTTTTGTGTCCATTCATCGTTCACTTTATTATTTTCATTTTTAACATTTCATTCTCCACGATCGTCTTTGTCTATGGAACTAAGTTTGTTTATAGAGCTAAATTTTGCTGTAAGATTTGCCATACGCCTCTCATTAGCCCAGCTATTAATGTTCTCTCTGAAACACACAAGCCCTTAATGCACTGGATTTTAACAAGGCATGTGACCTGCCTACTAATTCCCATAATTATGTGGCTGTCTTTTTATTTTAGCCTCTTGATATGGCCCTTGTTTTGAATGGTGGATGTCATGGCTTATCCAGAAAGTATATGCACTGGCAGGAGGAGTTGATTGTGGGTGGCACAGTCAAGAACAGCACTGGAAAACTCGTCAGGTAAGCCAGCTCCCGAAGACAGTCTATGCCCTCTCGTCTTCCTTTCTTCAAAAGCCACTTCCCTCCTGACATCAGCAAGTATATTTGTGTTAATACTTAAACCATTATCCTTGCTAGCTGGGTGGCGTCCTAGAATATTAAGAAATACTAGCAGACTGCAACAGCTTGAAAAAGCACCTTGTGGGGAATTTTTCAAGAATGGATTTGTAGTTTTCATCAAGACCGTAGTTCCTGACCGTAGGATTTCAGGAGATCGGCCCATTATGTAGAGAAGCGGGGCAGGTGTAAAGTAGGCCGGGAGACACTGGTCAGAGAGAGTTCATGGTGCAAGCTGCACAGTGTCAGACTGTTAAAGGAAAAGACGAAGAGCCAGCGGCTCAATAAGAATTATCCTTTGTGCACTTGTGGACTCTGGTCAGTCAGGTGTCTGGCATTTCGTGTAAGATTTCTCCCCTGGGAACACCGTCGTCTGGGATTTCTGCGCGGCGAGTATGCTTCGCTGAGCCCGGTGTATCTGCTCAAGCTATCTGCTCCTCTCCCCTTCCTGTTTCATGGAATGGAAACTGTGAAAGGAAATTGCCTATTAATTTAATTTTGGGGTCTATCTGTAAAAGGTTTGTAAGGTTACACCTTTAATATGGTACCTCAATCTATTAAATAAAATAACCATCCTGGTTCCATTTTAATGGAAACATGTGCTCACGGAGAAGGAAGAGAATTGCAGCCAGTGAGTTGGGGGAACTGGCTGGGGATTTGAGGCAGTGGAAACAGCTTCCTGGGCGTACTGATGATGTGCCTTCCCTTGGACTGTGCCACAGCGCTCATGCCCTGCAGACCATGTTCCAGTTAATGACTCCCAAGCAGATGTACGAGCACTTCAAGGGGTACGAGTATGTCTCACACATCAACTGGAATGAGGACAAGGCGGCAGCCATCCTGGAGGCCTGGCAGAGGACGTATGTGGAGGTAAACCCACCTTCGAGTCGGCCTGCAGACTCGCTGGTTACGCAATTCTTCGTTTTCACCATTATTTAAAACATTTCTTTCCATTCGCTTTATTTTCAAAATGTTGCAATTCCGGGAACTTGATGGCATGAAAACTTTTTTCCTCTTCTTTGATATTGAAAATCCTAGGATACTATCGAAGAGACCAGTTCTAATTGGGGTGCCCTCAGACATGTTTAGTAAGCGGTTGTGAACTACAGAACTAAAGCACCTAACAGTGTTTAAAAAAACACTTGGTTAGCAAAGGTGTCTGGAAAACATTAGCAAGGCATAGAATCTGTTCACAGCTGCAGGCCCCTTGGCCAGGTCATGTGACAGGAGCTGGCCTTTGTTTCCCAAGCAGTGACCTCTGCCAGGCTGCATGTGACCTTTTAAAAGTGGCCAGCAAATGAACAGGGGGAGGAGGGCCGTACGAATGGGTTGTTTTGGATTAGGGGGGAGCTGATGGGACCGCAAGTCAATTGTGAAGTTACAGAGAAGAGACGAGCAGTCTCAGCCCTGGAGTAAGTACAGCACTCGGAGTGAACTCCATCAACACCGGCCCTCAGCAGCACCCACTGCCGCTGATTAGCCACGGCCCTTGTCCTCAAACAGGGTTCTTTAATGTTAGCCCAAGTTCAGCTTCCCTCCCTGCCCTGGAATCACGTAGAGCTTTTTAAAAAATGCATTAGAATAAAAGAAGGCCTGGGCTGTGTCACCTGAGGTCTGTGCTGTCGAGGCTTGTGAAGCGTTCATTACATTTGGGCATTTCACCTTCTCTTGTGACCACAGGTGGTTCATCAGAGTGTCGCACAGAACTCCACTCAAAAGGTGCTTTCCTTCACCACCACGACCCTGGACGACATCCTGAAATCCTTCTCTGACGTCAGTGTCATCCGCGTGGCCAGCGGCTACTTACTCATGGTAATGCTCAGTGCCATGCTCTGGGGGGCTGGAGTTTGGTTTGGTTGTTTTAGTCTTTACTTTTCCATGACCGCTCCTGCTTCTTAACTGCTCTTAACATCCACGTGCATCCGGGCCAGAGAGAGCGTGGCGTCACAGTGGTTTAAAAGTGGTCGTGTAAAGCGTTTTTCCCATTTGCCGTTGGCCTACCTTTGACTCCTATCATTTTATGTGACGTCCTTGATGTAAAGTTTTGTTGTTGTTGGATTTCATAAGTTCTGCCTTTTGATTTGGGGTGATGGGTGGGGGGAAACATCAGAATCATGACACATTCTAATGTTCGGCTTTTGTTCTGTGCCCCCATTGTTCTGCTTGCAGCTCGCCTATGCCTGTCTAACCATGCTGCGCTGGGACTGCTCCAAGTCCCAGGGTGCCGTGGGGCTGGCTGGCGTCCTGCTGGTTGCACTGTCAGTGGCTGCAGGACTGGGCCTGTGCTCATTGATCGGAATTTCCTTTAACGCTGCAACAACTCAGGTACTAAAGGAGCCATTCATCCGCTGTCCGTTGACAAACGCCCCGGTCCCCCAGGCTCGGCCCAGCCAGCCTTCTGTGTGTCCTTCTCACCAGAAGGGTCTTGCAGCCTTCTCCACTAGGATGCTACTGGCCTCAGGGAGATGCTGTCTCTTGATGCCGTCTGCCCTGAGGGCAGTGGGTGGGAAGTCTGTTGGACTTACTGGTTAGTAGAGACACTTCGCGGATAGGAATGTATGTCATTGACCAGGGTTGTGGCTCTCCAACTCTGGCATTGGCATGGCTTGCAGGGCTTGTGAAAGCTCAGATTGCCAGGTCCCACTCCCGGGGTTTCTCAGTAAGTCTGGGGCTGGGGCTGAGAATGTGTACTTCAGGGCAGTTCCCAGTGATGCTGGTCCATGGACCACACTCTGCGAATCGTTGCTTAAATGAGTTAGATTCCTTCTCATGTACTAGCCTAAAAAAATGATAGTACACAGACCTTCGAAGTAGAAATGTGCAGGCTCTTCTGTGCCTGAAACTGCTAGGCTTTGGGATGTCGGGTGAATTCTTCACCATGAGGTCACGAAGCTCTGCTTTGGGAGCTGTCAGGCGCTGGTGGCAGTGTCCTAACTAGCTTTAGAATCCTCTGAATTGGATCTCACGTGTCTAATGCCAGCATCCTCTGTTTTTGCGGTAGGTTTTGCCATTTCTTGCTCTTGGTGTTGGTGTGGATGATGTTTTTCTTCTGGCCCACGCCTTCAGTGAAACCGGACAGAATAAAAGAATCCCTTTTGAGGTAATGCAAAATAGCAAAAGACGAGAGCTTTGGGGACATAGCAGCTTCCTCTGTTCCTATTTGTCCTTTAATTTTCCTCAGTCTGGCCCAGTAAAGATTTCAGTCCCATGTCAGATGATGTGCCACTGGCTGCCAGGCAATGAAATCAGCTGGAAGACCCTCCAGACATGTATTTGCTATGAGACGTCCCAAGAGCTGCATTTGGGGTGCCTTTGGGAATATGGGTGTTTATTTTAGTGTGGCACTTTACCCCTAGCTGCCATACCTTTCCAATGCCTGCTTTTGCTTCTCTGGAGATGTCCGTCACTTAGCCATCACCTTGCTCCACTCCCTTTTAAAATTAGACTTCAGCGTTAAGTCATTATCTTGCAGCTTTCTGCTCTGGACGGTAATAACCATGAGGAATCCATGACTCCGTAGATAGTACTGAATAATGCTGGTGTTAGAGGGCAAGGCAGGTGGTTCTTTCTCTTCCCCTCATGCCAGCATAAGCTACAGTTGTGTGACTCTGCCACGTATCTGCTCACACAGTCTGTGCTCCAAGGGGACCCTGTCCAGTGCAGCTCTCAGCGCTGTGGTTTCTTATTCCCAGGACAGGACCGGGGAGTGCCTGAAGCGCACAGGAGCCAGCGTGGCCCTCACGTCCATCAGCAACGTCACAGCCTTCTTCATGGCCGCGTTAATCCCGATTCCCGCTCTGCGGGCGTTCTCCCTCCAGGTGAGCTTCTGGTGATGAAGGCTACGGTGATCCTGAGCGGGGCACTGACTTCCAGCATCCCATGTCTGCGGTCTCTGCTAAGGCACTTCAGTTACTTACGAAGTGAAATAGAAATGCCTGTGTTTGAGGCTCTGTTGAACTGGGTGGATGCTTCTTTAAGCTCATAACCGTGACACTCCCTCCAAAAAACTCAGCACTTCTGGAGTTTTTCCTTCCTTTCTATCCCTATGAAGCCCAGATGCCTGTTGCCTTATAGAGTGGCCCTGTCCTTTGTATGTGGCTTTCAGGGCTACTCTGTGTTGTCCTCTGGGGTCACCAGTGCTGAAGCCAGCTTCTGGGCCATAGCCTGCTTTCAAACACCACTCCCAGTACCTGTGCTTACCCCTTCTCCCGCTGCCCACCTCATCCCAAACAGGCCACCTTTTCTTTTGCTTTTGCCAAAGCAGCCCCAACCCAAGACAGTATTAAGCTGAGGTCGCATGTCAGACGGCACTGCAGGACCACGGACGGGCCAGGCTGCCGTGGAGAATTTCCTGCAGGGTGTTCCTCGGCGGGCCCTCACTTTCCACCTCCCTTTCCTAAGTTGGCCTCCACAGTCTCTCCTGTCCCCTCTTCTCTTTCCTTTTGGTCCCCTGCTCCCCTCTCAGGCTGCCCAAGCAGATTCACAGTCCCTCTCACTTCCCATGCGGAGCACGTGGGCCCCTCATGACTTGTCCTCTCCTTCCAGGCCAGGCTGTCACCTCCAGAGGCCATAAGGATATTTGCTAATCAGAGACTCAGCTTCTGTGAATTGTGAGCACGGACAGTTCCCTGGGATGGGGATAGAGCTGTAGTCCTTCTGTGCCTGGAGTAAATTACTGACATTGCCCTTGAGCTACTTGAAACGCATAGGAATCCTAAAATGAGTTACTGCGGCTGATAGAGCAGAGACTTCACCAGTTTGTGCCATGGTCTTCTGGAGCCCAAAGTGGCCTGGAGTTTTGATATCTCAAGATGTTATTGGGGTTTTGTGAATTAATTTCAAATTTTAAAACCTCGATTGTTTCCCCTTTCTTCTCTGTGAAGATATGATATATAATTCTCAAGCTGGCCAGGTTTTTAAAGGAAACGACATTTGTGTCACTTTGTAGCCTGCTGTTACGATGCCCAGTGCACTCACACAGCTTTACGCTACTCACCAAGAGCTCTTGCAGATGCGAGCAGGAAGAGAAATTGACCAGTAATGCATCTGGTTTCTGCTTATATTTTGTCAATATGTTTAGCTCTTTCCTACTCTTTTACGTTTGTCTTATACGATGAACCAATCAATCACGTATTTGAATGCCATTTCACTAGATACCAAGGCCTGGGCAACTACTGATCCTACTGGGTTTGGGAATCGAGGCATCCTTAGTCTTTAGTGTGAGGCACAGTTGGATAAAAGATTCTATGCCAATGGCCATAACCACCAGCCCCAAAAGAAACACAAAAAGAAAAGAAAACAGGGTTTATTTGTATTATAAATCTACATAGAAGTAAAAATAGTGAATCAATGAATAATGTTCAGATCTGACGCTCGAACCAAAGCACAGGACAAGGAAACTCTCTGATTGCTCAGTGGCATGAAAGGTGAGCCAGACTCGCAGCGCAGCTGAAGTTGTAGAATGCCTTTGTGTGCAGGCGTGCATCTGCTCAGCACCCTGTGGTACCCTAGTCTCGTTTCATGTGCAGCAGGTGCTGGTATTGAGAAACCATTCTAGAGTCTTTCAGTCGTGGGACCCTCTCTCCCCATTCTCTCTCCTCTCCCCTTCTTTTCTGCTTGCCTTTTTGCTCACTGTCCTTCTGTACCTGCTCACACTCCTTCTTTTCTTCTTTTCTCTCTCATTCTCTCCTCTGCTCTCTCAGTACATACTGATGGCTCATCGAGGCCGACTGTCCTTTAACGACACCCTATGGTGTGGTGGTCTGAAACGCTACATGAGGTTTCCTTACGAGGAGTAGCCTTGTAGAAAATCCAGTGCGTTAAGTTCTCCCAAGGTAAGCACCTTACAGAGACGAAAATGAGTACTGTTGGTTTTTGTGTTTCTGTTTCAAACCACGGCAGTTATCACTGTAGAAAATTGCAACTATAGTTTCCAAGAGTCCTCATCTTATTAAAGAATGCCTCCCCGTGACACTGGTTCATTCTCTGTCAAAAAAAAAAAGATTGCTGGGCACGGTGACTCATACCTGTAATCCCAGCACTTTGGGAGGCCGAGGCAGGCGGATCACCTGAGGTCGGAGTTCAAGACCTCCTTGACCAACATGGAGAAACCCCGTCTCTACTGAAAATAAAAAATTAGCTGGGCATGGTGGTGCATGCCTGTAATCCCAGCTACTCGGGAGGCTGAGGCAGGAGAATTGCTTGAACCCAGGAGGCGGAGGTTGCAGTGAGCCAAGATCGTGCCATTGCACTGCAGCCTGGGTGACAGAGCAAGACTCCGTCTCAAAAAAAAAAAAAAAAAAAAGAAAATGCAAGGAAGAGAGTGAGCTTGCAATGGTATTTGCAGTGGCCATCAGAAGATTTTCCCTGGTTCTGTTTTAAATGTATTGACCCTCAAATTTAGTCATTATGTAGCTTCTCTTTCTGTTGGTGAACAGTATCAGGTTTGACTCTGGGTGTTCAGTTGTGTTTATATTTGCAAGATGCCACAAATTAAACTTCAAAAGGGAGTGACTCAAGGTGGTTCTGTCCAATAGTAAACCTGCGTTACCTTCAGAATTTTCCATATAAACTCCAATTTTGTAGACTGACCAAATAGTTAGGTTTTTTTTTCCACAAAGAAACTGTCTTAAACCTCATCAGCCTTTATCTATCTGCCTAAATGCCACCTCTACACCAGGAATCACTGGCACCAGCTGTAATTCTCTGTAATGAACTAGGGCTTGCTGGTAGCCCAGTAGTGTTTATTCTTCAATGAAAACTCGCAGAACAGAACCCCTTGTTGTTCTATCTGGTCTAGGAGGGTTCGACTGGAACCTTCTCTGCACGTGTCCCAGCCTTAGCTGCTTTGAGGGGATGGGCCATTTCCTATGAGCACAATAACTAGAATTGATTCACAGTTACAGTATCACCCCCATCATCTTCTCTGGTTTACTTACACTCTCTTGCCTTTGCGACAACCCTCTTCACTTTCTGAGCAGCCCTTGCTGGTTATTTTACTATTTTGGTGTCCATCTGGGAACCTGGCGTTGAGAAAATACTCCCCCATACATGTAGTAGGTTATGAGAAAGTCAGTTAGATGGGACTCCGCTTGGGGTTCTTCTCTCATCCCTTAACTGCCGTCACGGACATGGAGCAAGGTGCCCAGCAGGCTTCTCTGACCGATGAGTCCTGGTAGCCAAGAAGCTGCCCAACCTCTGTGGTGGTGGGTGTGGCTGGCAGGTGCCCATCCCTGCACCCGTGGGGTTCCCTGTGTCACAAACCTCTGCTCTCCTCATCCTCATGAACACCTGTCCAAACCGGGATGCCCAGGGTCTCTTCTCTACATTCCACTCCTCAATTCTAAACATGACTGATTATAAAAGCTAAAAGGATTCGGCCCCCAGGATTACATGCTCCTGGAAGATCTCCGTTAGAATCCTACCTGTTCTTGCCATCCCCTGCTGTCTCACGGTCATGGATCCTAACCCCGTCCACAGACATCCTCTCGGTAAGGGACCAGATCTCACAAAACTCCTGGTTCTCAGCTGCGCTGGGGGCTTTGATCTGATTTACTGGATAACCTCAGGCAGGTGACTTGACTGCACTTGGGGGACGTTATCAGATAATACTGTCAACAGCAGCGAGCACCCCCTGCTTGCTGTGAATCAGGCATGAATGACCTGATCTTCATAGCTTCTCCTTTCTCTTCCCCAAAGTGAATCTCAAACCCCAGCCGTACTGAGGTGCCTGCGCCAGGTGTCTCCTCTAGCACAGTCTGTGTTTTCTTCACAGGAAGCACCTACCATTCCCCTGCTCCTGACTGACCTCTTTTTATTTTATTTTCTTTTTCTTTTTTTGTTTTTATTTTTTATTTTTTTGAGGTGGAGCCTCACTCTTGTTGCCCAGGCTGGAGTGCAGTGGTGCGATCTCGGCTCACCACAACCTCCACCTCCTGGGTTCAAGCGATTCTTCTGCCTCAGCTGCCCGAGTAGCTGGGATTTTAGGCACACGCCACCACACCTGGCTAACTTTGTATTTTTAGTAGAGATGGAGGTTTTTCCGTGTTGGTCAGGCTGGTCTCAAACTCCAACCTCAAGTGATCCTCCTGCCTTGACCTCCCAAAGTGCTGGGATTACAGGCGTGAGCCACCATGCCCGGCCCTCTTTATCATCCTCTAAACCCTGCTGAAGCCTCTCCCAGAAAGCCTGCCTTGACTGATCACCCCTACACCCCACTGAGTTGTTCTGCAGCCTGGCACCTGCCTTTATGACACCATCCATCATTTGGGATTGTCATTTGCGTATAGGTCTTGCTCTGTGAGAATTGAGAGTAGGATTTTTCTTATCTTTGTGTCTTCAGCACCCAGCACAGTACTGGATTTTTCTTTTTAAAAGATCTTTCTCTCAGGTGAATTCTCCTGTCACAGTGGTGATGAGCTTATTTGTGTAGGCCTGTCAGACAGGTCTTACATACATGAGAGTGGTAAGCTAACATGCTTCATGTATTTCAATTGATGAAGGATTTTCAAGATAGACCAAGAAGAAAGAGGTTGGGTCGTTTTTAGAAGAAGACTCTTGACAGGGAATTAATTATTAGAAGACATCTCTCCAGAACTCAGGCTTGCTGGTTTACCTTGAGCATAAACTCCCAATTCCCATCCAAAGCCATTTGTGGAAGTTCTCCCTCGATTGTGTTAGGTGCCAGTTACAGCCAGGTTTTCTTTCCTTACCCTAGGACGTTTATCAATTTGACGTTTGTGAACTAAGCAGTTCTTTGAGAAGCCTCGTTTTTTATTTTCTTTCTTTTTTTTTTTTTTTTTTGAGACAGAGTCTCTCTCTGTCACCCAGGCTGGAGTGCAGTGGTGCAATCTTGGCTCACTGCAACCTCTACCTCCCAGGTTCAAGCGATTCTCCTGCCTCAGCCTCCCAAGTAGCTGAGACTACAGGCGCCCGCCACCACGCTCAGCTAATTTTTGTGTGTGTTTTTAGTAGAGACGGGGTTTCACCATGTTAACAGGGATGGTATTGATCTCCTGACCTCATGATCCACCTGCCTCGGCCTCCCAAAGTGCTGGGATAACAGGCGTGAGCCACCGTGCCTGGCTTCGTTTTTTATTTTCAAAGCCATGTCTGTCAATGTCCTGGCTCCTCAGCGTCGCCAGTGCGTTTCTCTGTGGTGCCCCCTCTGCCATGCCCTTCCGAGCTAGGTCGACTTTCCACTGGCCTCTGTTGGCTTCGTCTATTAACAGCCCAATTTTGTAATTTTTACTAGGTCAGCAGGAGATTTGCCAACACACTGCAGAATCTAGCCCTGTGTTTATTCTAGGTTATAGAGTGACTTTTGAATCTATACTTATTTATTCTGCCTACTATAATCACACACAGGAATTTCTTTCTGCTTAACTGTCCTTGGCCTTCTCTGTTTCTTGCTCTCACACCCCACTGGCTACTCCAGAGGCTGTTTGGAATTTGCCTATGAAAACCTCAGGGGACACGTGCGAAATGGGATTTCATGTTTTAAAGGGGGACATTTTGATATACTCGCTCCACTTTATATAAAAATGTTTAACTGTAAAATCAGGGTCGCGTGACCTCTTGGAAGCATTCTGGAAGGGAAATGCTTCTGTTTTACATTCTGTCTGGAGCGTGCTCTCTGTTCTCCTTTGTGGATTCGGTTTGGTTAGGTTACTGCAACACGTTAGTAGTGTAGTTCCCAGGTGTGTGCCTTACCGGTTCATGGAATTATTAGAAAGTCCAGAAATAGTCAAGGCTATTCTTGTCACATCGGCTCTTGATGATGTAGCAAAAGAACCTCTTAACATCTGTCATAGTTTCAAACACGTCAAGAGGAAAGGGAAAGAAAAATACTGTTTAAAAGCGTCTTTATTTTCGAAGCGGTCCTCCGACTGGGCGGAGGGGTATTGGTGACCTCTGACTGGGCGGAGGCGTGTCGGTGACCTCTGACTGGGCCCGACTGGGCGGAGGGAGCTGGTGACCCTGACTGGGCGGGAGGCGTGACGGGTGACCTCTGACTGGGCGGGAGGCGTGGTCGGTGGACCTCTGATTGGGTGGAGGTGTCGTGACCTCTGATTGGGTGGAGGGGTGTCGGTGACTCTGACTGGGCGGAGGCGTGTCGGTGACCTCTGACTGGGCGGAGGGGTATTGGTGACTCCTGACTGGGCGGAGGGGTATTGGTGACCTCTGATTGGGCGGAGGCATGTGGGTGACCCTGGACTGGGCGGAGGGGTATTGGTGACCTCTGGGCGGAGGGGTATTGGTGACTCTGATTGGGCGGAGGCGTGTGGGTGACCTCTCTGACTGGGCGGGAGGCGTGTCGGCACCCTGACTGGGCGGAGGCGTGGTCGGTGACCTCTGACTGGGCGGAGGCGTGTGGGTGACCTCTGGATTGGGCGGAGGCGTGTCGGTGACCTCTGGATTGGGCGTGGAGGCGTGTCGGTGACCTCTGATTGGGCGGAGGCATGTTGGTGACCTCTGATTGGTCGGAGGCGTGCTGGTGACCTCTGGGTGGGAGGCGTGTCAGTGACCCTGACTGGGCGGAGGGGTATTGGTGACCTCTGATTGGCGGAGGCGTGCTGGTGACCTCTGGGCGGGAGGCGTGTCGGGTGGACCTGATTGGGCGGAGGGGGCGTGGCTGGTGGACCCTGGGCGGAGGCGAAGCTGGTGACCTCTGATTGGCGGAGGCGTGCTGGTGACCTCTGGGCGGAGAAGGCGTGTCGGTGACTTCTGATTGGGCGGAGGAATATTGGTGACCTCTGGGCGGAGGGGTGTTGGTGACTCCGTGACCGGGCAGAGGCGTGCTGGGTGACCTCTGGGCGGGAGGCGCAGCAGACCCTGATTGGTCGGAGGCGTGCCGTGACTCCTGGGCGGAGGAGTGTTGTGACCTCTGGGCGGAGGCGTGCCGGTGACCTCTGACTGGGCGGAGGGGTATTGGTGACCTCTGATTGGGCGGAGGCGTG